GCTTGAGCATGATCAACCTTTTGGAAGACAGACCTGCCTCCGTGATGACGTGGACTAAACTTATTGGAGGGGATTTTTTCCCTCCACACTTTGCCCTAATTCCTCTTTAATTGGACTACGGCTCCTAATTAAAGGGGAATTGAAGTTGTGCAGTTGCCACTTTTCGCACGAGGCGTTTCCATTTGTGTCTATTGTTATTCTGACTCAAGGACTTCTTCAAGACTTGTTTTTGTTCTCACTGCGCTCGTTTCGTCCTTCGCGTTCTTCACATTCTCATATCTCTAGGTTAGTTTTTCTTCTCATTCTTCCAATCTTGCATTATGAGTACTTTGACTACTCCTGAACATATAGAAATCGCGGACTCTGAGTCCACGCCCTCGTCTTCCCCTAATCTTATTAGGGTTCCTCCTCCTAGGGTTTTGAACTTCCTTAGGTCTGCAAATGACTCGGCTAATCAGCCGGATGTTTCTCCAATCTAGGCTGGGACATCCACCTCTGGGTCGGACAGTATTTTTACTAAGGAAGAAAGAGATGCAATTTTATCTGTTTGTCATATTAATTTTTCCATTGAATCCTTAATGGAAGATTTTGAGATTCTCGAGGGGGTAGAAATTGTAGAATACCTCGAGGGTGCCAATTTTTGTGCCTGCGAGGGTGTCGGGGAAGACGAGTTGCTGCTCTCTGTTGGGCATCTCAATGCTCTTAGATTCCCCTTCACCCTTTTTACCATTTAGTTTTTAACAAATTAGGGATTGCACCCCTACAAGTAAACCCTAACTTCCTTTGAATAATCTCGGCACTCCCGATTTGCCGATGGCTGGAGAGTCTTGACCTGACTCTGGCTGACTTGCTGATTACTTACACTATTTCCAAGCATGGAACCGAGCCTAGTTACTTCTATTTTACCTCTCCCTTGCACCAGAGGATATGTACAGACCTCCCTACTTTTGAAAAGAAGTGGAAAGAGAGGATGATAATTGTTAAAGGGAGATGGGCCGTATCTCAATCGAGCAAACTCCCAATCCCACACAAGTTCAGGAAGTTAGGTATAGAACGTCCCCCATCTCTTCATAAAGATTGTACTGGCTGTTTCCCATGTCGAATCTTATTCTTTCGGTATATTTATGAGTTTTTTGGTGTTTTTTCAGTGACATTCCCCTCCTTTGCTGCCAAGAAAAGGCTTTCCTTTCTGGAAGAGCAGGTTTGGAAAAAGCCTATTTCTGTTGAGGACTTACTTACCTCCTATAACCTTAAAGCAATTACTTCTAGAGCCGTGACTGCAGACCTCATGGACCTTTCACTCCCCTCTTTTGATAGCTTCCCAATGACTGAGGAAGAAAAGCAAAGGGCTAAAGCTTTAAAGAGAAAGGCTGCAGAGAGTGCCCCATTGACTATATTGCACTCAAATGAACAAGAAAAAGAGATTGATGAAATTCCTCTGCATAAGAAGGTGAGGTTGACTTCTTCTTCAACCACGAAATCCAAGAGTGCTTCCAATCCAAAAAGTAAAGGAAAGAAGGCTGAGGAGACTGATCCTAAAGAGGAGGTCAGAGCTTACGTCCTGGCTGAGGCTGGGGCACCTTAGACTCTTTCTTTCTCGAGGGCTGACAAATCAGTCCTCCATACCGGTGATTCTACGATCACTGACCCATCTGCATCAACTCTGTCTATTGATCTATTGAAGATCCTCTGTTCGACATTCCAGATGGTAGTAGCAGGATTCACTTGAAACAAGAATGGGAATATATTTGCATACGATTTCCACAGACGGCGCCAAAGTGTAGGTGCAAAATTTTGCTCAACCAATAATAATTGAGAAAAATAAAATAACTCACTCAAAAAGTAATAAAAACAAATAAGAACAGTGTATAAAGAAGCGTAGAATTGCTTGTTTGTTTTGTTCCACTTTTATTGGAGGTCTTGGCCTCTATTTATACATAAAAAGTAGTAGAGTTATGGTAGGACTCGCATTGCTTGTCCTCCAATTCTTTCTATGTAGACATTCTTTACAATTAGAGTTCTTTCCATTGTTGAATTCTCCATCCACATAACTTACTTTGTGTAGAATTCCTATTGCAGAGTTCTTTTTTATGGTAAATCCTTTAGCAAGCAGGATTCGTTAATTCTTAAATAACTGGGCTGGCTATAGCATTAACCGGATGGGCTTGAATAATGGGCCAGATGTTTGAAATGACCAGATCGGGCTAACACTTTCTTGATTTGGCCAGGATAAAGGTAAGAGAGCCAATAACAGTGATCCTGGGCTAGGAGTACATTCACTTTGGGCTTGAGCATGATGGGCCTTTTGGAAGACAGACCTGCCTCCGTGATGACATGGACTAAACTTATTAGAGGGGATTTTTTCCCTCCACACATAGGCATAATAAATAAACAAGTTTTAATCAAATGAACAGTTCACAGCATACACTTGCTAAGTAACCCCACAGGCATCATCCATTTGACACAAAAAATTTCTAAACGGTAACTTTTTAGAGACTCTGACTTCATAACCCACACCATGTCACCTTTCTCTAACACTGTGGAGGGAAAAAATCCCCTCCAATAAGTTTAGTCCACGTCATCACGGAGGCAGGTCTGTCTTCCAAAAGGCCCATCATGCTCAAGCCCAAAGTGAATGTACTCCTAGCCCAGGATCACTGTTATTGGCTCTCTTACCTTTATCTGGGCCAAATCAAGAAAGTGTTAGCCCGATCTACTCATTTTAAACATTCGGCTTATTATTCAAGCCCATCTAGTTAATGTTATAGCCAGCTCAGTTATTCAAGAATGAACGAATCCTGCTTACTAAAGGATTTATCATAAAAAGAAAACTCTGCAATAGGAAGTTCTACACAAAGCAAGTTATGTGGATGGAAAATTCAACAATGGAAAGAACTCTAATTGTAAAGAATGTCTATATAGAAAGAATTGGAGGACAAGCAATGCGAGTCCTACCATAACTCTACTACTTTTTATGTATAAATAGAGGCTAAGACCTCTAATAAAAGGGGACCAAAACATACAAGCAATTGTACGCTTCTTTATACACTGTTCTTATTTGTTTTCATTACTTTTTGAGTGAGTTGTTTTATTTTTCTCAATCATTATTGGTTGAGCGAAATTTTGCACCTACACTTTGGCGCCGTCTGTGGGAATCGTGTGCAAATATATTCCCACTCTTATTTCAAGTGAATCCTGCTACTACCATCTGGAATGTCGAATAGGGGATCTTCAACAGATCAATAAACGGAGTTGATGCAGAAGATACGTGAAGAGTTTCTACACCAGTTTGACGTATTTCGTCAAGCAAACGAAGCTAGCGTGGCTCAGATCGCCTTGCTTCAACAGCAGAATAACACTCTGCAAACGGCGATGGCTCGGTTGGCACAACCGCCACCATCAGATGATACGGCAGCACCCCCTAATCAGAATATTCCTCCAGTTAACGGGCCTCAACTTAATGGAGCACGACCCAATGAGGCTCAGCCAAACGAGGTTTAGCAACAATAGAGGGCAAGGTCTGAGGCAGTCGCTTCAGACAACTTCCCTCGTCACACACAGGATGAGCAAGTCGAGTCTAGCCATAAGCTCACGGTATGGTCCAATGGTATTCCAAATGGTGCAGGTGTTCAGGATCCCTTTGATGAGAAAAGACTCCTGAAGATTCAGACACCCGCTGAGATGGCCAGAGAGTACAAAAACTCCCTGGTGAAGACTCATTTCACTGACGATGTATATATGGTTGAGAGGCCCAAGAAATTAACCATGCCTTCTTTTACTTAGTTTGAGGGTACGGGAGATCCTTTTCGGCACCTGGATCATTATGCCCAAAAGATGGGTTTGGATAACCGTAATGATCCTTAGATATGTAGAGTTTTTCCTACCAATTTGACAGGAGCAGCAATAGAGTGGTTCAGGAATAGGCCACACAAGTCCATCTCGAATTACGTAACTCTGTACACCATGTTCCTAGCACAATACGGCGGAAATAAGAAGCAAAAGAAGAGTATTGCTAGCCTCTTCACCGTAAGGCAAAAGAAAGGGGAAACACTACAGGATTTCTTATCTAAATTCAACATGGAAGCCTCGGAAATAGCATACTGTCATCCCGCGACTGCTATACAAACATTTAAACTTGCAATGATTCAGGGGACGAAGTTTCATATTTCCTTGGTCAAATATTCTCCTCCCGACATGCAGACTCTTAATGCCAGGGCCCAGATCTACATCCGGCTCCAGGAAAATGTAGCCCACCGAGCGCAGTACGCCACCTTCGTGACAGTGGAGAACAAGCCTCGGGCAAAAATTCCAAATTCAAAAATCCAGAAAAGCCAGCGCGCCTCAACGCTGATCACCCAGGCACCTGAGAAGAGGCAAAGGATAGAGTAAAGGTGTACACCTCTCTGAACTACCTTGGCTCGACTCTTCCAAAAGAATAAGATGAGGTTCACAGCCCTGCAGCCAATGAAGCAACACTTGGAGCAGAGGGACAAAAGCAAGCATTGCGCTTATCATCGAGATTATGGGCATTCAACCAATGATTGCAGATCCCTTAGGCGACAAGTGGAAAGTATGATAGCCAAAGGTGAGTTAGCAGATTACCTCATGTCGAAGGAGTATGTGAAGCCCCGCGAGGTCTATCCTCACAAGGTAGAAGGTACTCAAGTAAAGGTCATTCATACAATACATGGCAGATCTAAAGATGATCAAGTACTGAGGAGGTATACAGATCCAGATTGAGGGCAACCCATAAGCTCAGGAAGTTATCCTTGGTCAATGATATCGCTTCAGGCAGCATTAGTATTAGATTCGGCGATGGCGACCTATCCAGAGTTCAACTCCCCCATGAGGATCTATTAGTCATCAGTCTTTTAGTAGCGAATTGCATAATCAAGAGGGTTTTGATACACCCAGGGAGTAGTGCCAACGTCATTACAAATACGGTTTTTGAGTAGTTAGAGATCCCGTTGTCATCAATTCGACCTACCTCCAGCCCATTGATGGGGTTCGATGGCACAAGAGTAGATCCCCTTAGGGTAATAGACTTATCCGTAACTGCGGCGAAGAGGACTCTGAATGAGAACTTTGTCTTAACAGAGATCCACCCTTCTTATAATCTCATCATGGGAAGAGGCTGGATACACCGAATGAAAGGAGTTTCATCCACCCTTCATCAGGTGATGCGGTACTTATCTCTGGACGGAAAAGAGTTTATTAATCTATGGGGCGATCAAGTCACTGTGAAAGAATGTTATATGCTGACACAGGCTGAAGCAAAGAAGGTGTCTAGACAGCCTCAACCAGGCGTGACTCCCAGAGATATACCCAAATAGCAATTACAGAGCCCTTTGCCCAAGTATCTTAAGGTAGAGGAGGAAGAAAAAACTGCGAAGCCTACCGAGGAGATCCTCAAAGCCGTAGAAGTTATCCTCGGTGATCCCTAGAAGATCACTTATTTAGGCTCTTCTACCACATCCGAAGAAAAGGAAGCATTAATCGATGTCATTCAGAGCAATGCAGATGTTTTTGCATGGGATCATTCGAACATGGTAGGGATCGATCATTTAGTCTCCTGCCATAGCCTAAAGGTGGATCCGAAGTTCAAACCAGTGAAGCAGAAACACCGAAGGTTTGCCTCTGAACGCAATCGCATTATTAGTGAACAAGTTGTTGCAAGCAGGTTTCATCCGAGAGGTGCAATATCCACAATGGTTGTCAAACATGGTGGTCATCCAAAAGAAGAATGGGAAGTGAAGGGTTTGCATAGACTATACCAACCTTAACAATGCCTGCCCTAAAGATAGCTTCCCTCTGCCGAAGATAGATCAGATGGTTGATGCCACTACGGGCTACATTCCTCGATGCGTACTCAGGATATAATCAGATTCCTATGAATCCAGAAGATGAAAAAAAAACTGTTTTTTTTACAGAAAAGGGCACTTATTGTTACAGGGTCATGCCTTTCTGGCTGAAGAATGCCGGGGCCACTTATTAACACCTTGTTAACAAGATCTTCGACAACTTGTTAAGGAAAACGGTTGAAGCATACATAGATGACATGGTGGTCAAAAGTGTGAAGAAGGAAGACCATCCGAAGTACCTCGAGGAAGTTTTCAATACTCTAAAGAAGTACAACATGAAGCTGAATCCTTCTAAGTGCTCTTTTGTAGTACCATCAGGTCAATTCCTCGGCCATATAGTGAATAAGAGAGGGATAGAGGTAAGCCCAGCTCAGGCTAAAGCCCTCATACAGAATCAGGAACCAAAAACTCGTAGGGAGGTGCAAGTTCTTACCGGTCGGATCGCAGCTCTCAGCCGATTTATATCTCGATTATCAGATAAGTACAAACCATTCTTCGATGCCATAAGATCTAAGAATAAGGATATATGGGGACCTCAGCAGCAGGTGGCCCTCAACCAGTTGAAACGATATATAGCCGAACCTCCAATTCTATCTGCTCCAAAACCTGGAGAAGTTCTTATTATGTATTTAGCGATTTCTAGCATAGCGATAAGTGCAGTGCTAATTAGAGAGGAAGGAAAGAATCAATACCCAGTCTTCTACACAAGTAAGACAATGACAGATGCAGAGACACGGTATAGCAAAGTAGAGAAAATCATCCTAGCCTTGGTTTATGCAAAGAGGAAGCTTCGGCATTATTTCGAATCTCATAGCATTGTGGTACTCACCAACTACCTTATACGGGGTATACTTTCTAAGCCATATTTATCTGGAAGAATTACCAAATGGGCCATCGAGCTCAATTCCTTTGACATAACCTATGAGCCGAAGGTGTCACACAAGGGATAAGCCTTAGCAGATTTTCTCCTAGAATACGAGGACACTCCCGAAGAACCAGAACTCCCTGAACCACAATGGGAGCTTCGGGTTGATGGTTCCTCGAATCAAACAAGTGCAGGAGTTGGTGTTGTTGTATCAACACCCGAAGGCACCAAATTTCAGCAGTCAATTTGTCTAAATTTCCCTGCTCCTAACAATGAGGCCAAATATGAGGCGTTACTTGTTGGTCTTCGATTGGCCAGCAGCCTTCAAATACGGTGTTTAAAAGTTTTTAGTGACTCATAACTTGTTATAAATCAAGTGACAGGTCAGTATCACCCCAAAGAGGAAAGGATGAAAGCCTACAAAGAAGCTGTGGAGAATGTTACACGAGGATTCGATCAAGTCAAATTCCACTAGGTACCTCGTGTTGAGAATGCTGAGGCAGATCAATTGGCCACAACAGCATCATCCTTAAATGAAGATCTGACTCGGATTATGCCAATTGACATCCTGGACGAACCTAGCATCAACCTTCAACAAGAGGTAATGGTGATTCCAGCTATTTCGCGAGAGCCATGCTGGATTGATTCATTGGAAACCTACCTCAAGCATGGGACTCTTCCAAACTAGAAAAGTGAGGCACGGAAACTCAGACTCACTGCAGCTAAATATGCCATCATCAATAACTAGTTGTACTAGAAGTCATTTTCAGGTCCTTACCTGAAATGTTTAAGCCCTACTGGGCCTCTTGTGGTATTGAAGCAGATTCGTGACGGAGATTGCGGCAACCACTCTGGAGGCGGATCCCTCGCACATAAGGTTCTAACTCAAGGCTACTTCTGGCCATATTTGGCTCGGAATGCTGAAGAGTACGCCAGGAGATGTGATAAATGTTAGCGCCATGGTCTAATGAAACATTAACCTGCCGAAGATTTTCACGCAATGGCAAATCCATGGCCATTCGCACTGTGGGGGATTGATATGGTGGGTCGTCTACCCAAGACCATGGAACAAAAGGAATACGTGTTGCTAGCTATAGACTACTTCACAAAATGGGGTTTTATGGCACAAGAGTAGATCCCCTTGGGGTAATAGACTTATCTGTAACTGCGGTGAAGAGGACTTTGAAGGAGAACTTTGTATTAACAGAGATCCACCCTTTCTATAATCTCATCATGGGAAGAGGCTAGATACACCAAATGAAAAGAATTCCATCCATCCTTCATCAGGTGATGCGGTGCTTATCTCCGGACGGAAAAGAGGTTATTAATCTATGGGGCGATCAAGTCGCTGCGAAAGAATGCTATATGCTGACACAGGCTGAAGTAAAGAAGGTGTCTAGATAGCCTCAACCAGGCGTGACTCCTAGAGATATACCCAAATAGCAATTACAGAGCCCTCTGCCCAAGTATCTTAAGGTAGAATAGGAAGAAGAAGCTGCGAAGCCTACCGAGGAGATCCTCGAAGCTATAGAAGTTATCCTCGGCGATCCCCAAAAGATCACTTATTTAGGATCTTTTTCCACATCCGAAGAAAATGAAGCATTAATCAATGTCATTCGGAGCAATGCAGATGTTTTTGCATGGGATCATTCGGACATGGTAGGGATCGATCCTTTAGTCACCTGCCATAGCCTGAAGGTGGATCTAGAGTTCAAACCGGTGAAGCAGAAACACCGAAGGTTTGCCCCTGAACTCAATTGCATTATAGCTGAAGATGTGAACAAGTTGTTGAAGCAGGTTTCATCCGAGAGGTGCAATATCCACAATGGCTGTCAAACGTGGTGGTCGTCCAAAAGAAAAATAGGAAATGGAAGGTTTGCATAGACTATACCAACCTTAACAAAGCCTGCCCTAAAGATAGCTTCCCTCTACCGAAGATAGATCAGATGGTTAATGCCACTACGGGCCACGAGAGGCTTACATTCCTTGATGCGTACTCAGGATATAATCAGATTCCTATGAATCCAGAAGATGAAGAAAAAACTGCTTTTATTACAGAAAAGGGCACTTATTGTTACAGGGTCATGCCCTTTGGGCTGAAGAATGTCGAGGCCACTTATCAACGCCTTGTTAACAAGATCTTCGACACCTTGTTAGGGAAGATGGTTGAAGCATACATAGATGACATGGTGGTCAAAAGTGTGAAGAAGGAAGACCATCCAAAGCACCTCGAGGAAGTTTTTAATACTCTAAAGAAGTACAACATGAAGTTGAATCCTTCCAATTGCTCCTTTGCAGTATCATCAGGTCAATTCCTCAGCCATATAGTGAATAAGAGAGGGATAGAGGTAAGCCCAGCTTAGGCTAAGGCCCTCATGCAGAATCAGGAACTAAAAACTCGTAGGGAGGAGCAAGTTCTTATCAGTCAGATCACAGTTCTCAGCCGGTTTATATCTCGATTATCATATAAGTGCAAACCATTCTTCAATGCCATAAGATCTAAGAATAAGGATATATGGGAACCTCAGCAGCAGGTGGCCCTCAACCAATTGAAATGATATATGGCCAAACCTCCAATTCTATCCACTCCAAAACCTGGAGAAGGTCTTATTATGTATTTAGCGATTTCTAGCATAGCGACAAGTGCAGTGCTAATTAGAAAGGAAGGAAAGAATCAATACCCAGTCTTCTACACAAGTAAAACAATGAAAGATGCAGAAACACGGTATAGCAAAGTAGATAAAATCATCCTAGCCTTGGTTTATGCAACGAGGAAGCTTCGGCATTATTTTGAATCTCATGGCATTGTGGTACTCACTAACTACCCTATACGGGGTATACTTTCTAAGCCAAATTTATCTGGAAGAATTACCAAATAGGCCATCTAGCTCAGTTCCTTCGACATAATCTATGAGCCGAAGGTGCCACACATGGGACAAGCCTTAATAGATTTTCTCCTAGAATACGAGGACACTCCCGAAGAACCAGAACTCCCTGAACCACAGTGGGAGCTTCGGGTTGATGGTTCCTCGAATCAAACAAGTGCAGGAGTTGAGGTTGTTGTATCAACACCCAAAGGAACCAAATTGCAGCAGTCAATTTGTCTGAATTTCCCTGCTACTAACAATGAGGCCGAATATGAGGCGTTACTTGCTGGTCTTTGATTGGCCTACAGCCTTTAGGTACGGTGTTTAAAAGTTTTTAGTAGCTCACAACTTGTTATAAATTAAGTGACAGGTCAGTATCACCCTAAAGAGGAAAGGATGAAAGCCTACAAAGAAGTTGTGGAGAATGTTACACGAGGATTAGATCAAGTCGAATTCCACCTGGTACTTCGTGTTGAGAATGCTAAGGCAGATCAATTGGCCACAACAACATCATCCTCAAATGAAGATCTGACTCGGATTGTGCCAATTGACATCCTGGACGAACCTAGCATCAACCTTCAGCAAGAGGTAATGGTGATTCCAGCCATTCCGCAAGAGCCATGCTAGATTGATCCATTGGAAGCCTACCTCAAGCATGGGACTTTCCAAACCAGAAAACTGAGGCGCGGAAGCTCAGACTCACCGTAGCTAAATATGCCATCATTAACAACCAGTTGTAC